AGCAATGATTTCAGGCGACTCACCCGAGTACGACACGAGCACGAGCACGTCCCGCTCGGACAGCATGCCGAGATCGCCATGCAGGGCCTCAGATGGATGCATAAAAAGACTGAGAGTGCCCATCGATGTGAGCATCGATGCGATCTTGTGTGCGATTATGCCTTGGTTAGCAAGGTACGCACCACTTTTTCCAACGCCAACAAACACAAGCTTGCCTCCACGGCCGATGCGCTCCAGTGCCATGCTCAGCGCGGCCTGGAAGCTCGAGCTGTCTTGCTCGAATCGGTCCACCACGGCCTGCAGCGCGGTAGCCTCACGGTGCAGCACTTTTCGTGCCATATCGAGAGCGCTAGCGCCTACTGGGCCGGACGTCATGGTGGAGGAGGCTACACGTGCTTTCTTCTATTTAGGTTCCTCCTGTTCCGAACGGAAGGGCGCAAAGAGCTCACCAGACTCGTACTCTTGCATAGTCTTCTTCCAGCGCATGCGGATAGCGTCAAAGCTGTCGATGGCTGGGCGCACGTCCAGGTTAAATGCCGCCTCGTCCTCGTCCGAGTCGTCTGGAACCGAGTAGTAGTCAATCACGTAGCGGATCTCCTCGCCCTTGGGGTTAGCCGGAGTGGGCGCACGGCGCACAATCCAGTCGTGACGGTCGAACGGAGGCTCAGAGCTAAAGCGGTCAGGCATGGCCCATGCGAGCATCTGGTACATGCGCGCACGCGGCGAGAGCGTGCCAGGACGTCCCTGGAAGCGAGCAAGCTGCAGCGTTGAGACATCGGTGCCGGCCAGACGCTCCCACTCGATGACCTCGTTCCACGCACGCTCATTCAAAAAGTTGTGAATGAGCACCATCATCTCGACACTCTCCTCAGGCGTCTCCCAGCCCTTGCGCACGAGCGCATTATAGAACTGCTGGGGCGACGGGTACTCCCAGTGCGATGGCTCGGAGCCAGAGCTCGAGCCGCTGTGGTCAACGGGGCAGGCGGCCTCGCCGTCAGGCTTTGCCGGGGCCGCGCTGTGATCAATAGGGCACTTTGCATCCGCACTGGCACTGGGCGCCTCTTTTTTAAGCTGGCTGTGGTCAATGGGGCACGCCGCAGGGCCGTATGGCGAATCGCCGGGCGCCGCAGACGTAGGCGCACGCGGAATAGACGACACTGTGCGCTCGCGCGAGAGCGCTATGCGCTGTGTCGGTGCAGGCTCCTGCGAAAGCTCGGGCATATTGTTAAGCGGATTGAGCGGAGCAGGCGCCATGGCGCCGCCACGCGAAGCATGCATCGGGCAGGCCGCTGGCGGCTCTGCCTCGGCAATAGTAGTGCGTGGCGCAGACTCAGCGATAGTGCGGTGCTTGTGCAGCAACATCGCTGCGACGGCATCCTGGTTGTTATAGGTACGACGGCGCGGGGCAGAAAATCCCGGCGTGTCTGCGCCACCGACGATCGACTGTGTGGCACCCATCGAGGCAGCAGCTAAATTTTACGCACGTGCCATTCGTCGTATGGTATAATCGCTATTTTGCATCCCAATCCCAGACACGCGCCACAAAACGCGCAATATCTGAGTTTGGTGTCTGCATGCTGCGTTTCACGGCAGGGTGCATTATCAATACATCGGGGCCCGCCCGTGCCTTGCCGTCACGAACAAGGCATCTGTCGACCAGATCGCGAAACGCGCGGCTCCAGCGGATACCACGTGCCTCGTCGTCTTTCAACTGAGGCAGGGGTGAGTTTGTAATGTAGGTAAGCAGTTCAATTGGGCCCAAAAACGGCTCGCCCTCCGGGGGGAAGGGGAACCTGTTCGACGCCATCTCCAGCAGCGACACCCCGAGTGACCACACGTCCGAGGCAATAGTATATGGCTGGCCACGAATGCGCTCAGGCGCCATATAGTAGCTCGTGCCGGTAAACGTGCCTGCAACACTGTTTATCAGCTCCCCCGAGACGCCAAAGTCGCATAGCTTGATTTGACCGTCACGTGTGACTAGGATATTCGAAGGCTTGACGTCGCAATGAATGATGCGCCGACTGTGCAGGTACGCCAGGCCGCCAAGCACGCACTCGGCGACTTTGAGCAGTACCTTTTCGCCGATCCGTCCATGGCGTCTGCGCACCTCCTTGTAGACAGCGTCCATGCTGCCGCCCTCGCAGTATTCCATGCACATGACCACACTAGCCTCCGCAGCGTCAAAGAACACGCCGTAAAAGTCGACAATGTACGGACTGTGGCATGTCTGATTAATGTTGAGCTCACGCAAGAGCTGCCGGTGAATAGCTGGGTTGGGCGACGTCGAGATGACTTTGCGCGCAACAATCTGCCCGGTGCTCTTGATCCGGACCTTTGACACGACGCCGCTTGCGCCGTCGCCAAGGTGTGAGATAAACTCCAGGTTGTCTTGCCGCATTTCGCTGTCGTCCATATTGAGACTCGTTAGTGAGGCGTCGTCTGATCCCCGTCTCTCGCCGCCGCTAATTTGGCTCATAGAGAGCTTCATCAGGTCGCTCTCCCCCGCAGAAACACGCCGTGGCTTGACCGCCTGCTGCAGCTCGCTCAGACGCTCAGACTCGGACTGTGCGCAAATAGGCTGCGCAGGCATGATTGTGGTATCGCCACCGCTCGGCTGCTCGTCATAGTGCGCAACCGACTGCCCTGCACCGCCGAGCTGCAAAGAGAGTTTAGGCGCCCCCACCTTGTGTGGCCTCTTGGGCGGGATGAGAGACGCCATGGGGCCGGTGGAGAAGTGTTAGAGGCAGGTCTTTTTTTGGCTATATTCACGGTCGCCTCCACTCGATGGCCCTGTGGGAAGCGCTTTTTGGGCGGTCAACAACGCCGGCAGAGCGTCTGCGTCAGCACTTGCGCTCGCTCCAGCGCGCACGACGTGAGCTGGATAGGGAACGTGCAAAGCTGGAGACCCAGGAGAAGCAGCTCGTCACATCCATCAAGCAAAATGCAAGGAAGGGACAAATGGGTGCCTGTAAAGTAATGGCCCGTGATCTCGTGCGGACGCGCCGCAACATCCACAAGTTTTACCAGATGAGCACACAACTCCAGGCAGTTGCGCTGCGCATGCAGACGCTGCGCAGCACGCAGCAGATGTCTGAGGCGATGCGTGGGGCAACAAAGGTGAGTCTGTATACCTGACCAGGCCCTCGGTGCGATGAACCGGTCTACGAATATACTTGCCGTGCAGCGCATTCTCACCGAGTTTGAGCGCGAATCGAGCACTATGGACATGAAAGACGAGATGATGAATGACGCTATGGATGAAGCACTTGACGAAGACGAGGGAATGGGCGAGAACGAAGAGTCCGACGCAATCCTCAAGGAAGTGCTGGACGAAATCGGTATTGATGTGGGACAGCAAGTGCGTATTATTGCTAACCTAACCAGCTCGTTAATGCACCCTCGACCGACCCCATTTCTGAGGCGCCTGCGCGCATTGCAATCAGTGAAGGCGCACCTGCGCCGAAAGGAGCGACGAGCACAAGAGCCGCTGATACAGACGCCACTGACGACGCTCTGCAGGCGCGTCTGGCAAATCTCCGCAAGATGTAGTTAGTTGGGCTTTCCGAAACATATTTCTCCACAGTGCATGCATAGCGCGTCCCCAATTGCTCTGGCCCCGCTAGCCGATATGGAGGACATGTCAATGCGCATCCGCGCACCCAGCGTGTCGCCTGCGAGCATCACGGACCAGTGGCGCCGAAGAGCAGCATTCTTTACATTCGGGCTCACCAACAATGGCCCGTACGTTGTTATACTGGCAGCAGCCTTGGAGCTCCTGCCCAAGTCTGTGCCGACTGGCGTGCTCCTGTTCGTCAACATTGCGCCTGCGCTCGTGGGGAAAGCTGTGTTCCCATACCTGCTGAAAGGTGAGATTCAGTATGGCAAGCGCGTTGCACTGTGCACCGCACTGGCGTTCTGCGGCATGATCATCATCGCCACATTCGAGTCGCTTACAATGCGTCTCTTTGGAATCGCCCTCGCGAGCTTTTCCAGCGGTGTGGGCGAGGTCACATACCTGCAATATACTACTCGGCTCCGTCGCGACCTCTCCTCACAGTGTGTGGGCCACTTTGCGAGCGGTACAGGTGCAGCCGGATTGCTATGTGCGTTTGCCTGGTGGCTTGTGCGTCCTCTTGGCGTGAAGACGGGCATCACGCTGCTCTCTGTGCTCCCACTGGGCATGGCATTTGGCTACTTTGTGCTGCTCCCAGCTATTGACGAACAGTCGAGCAGGAATACCGCATCGTCTAGCGTCAAAGTATCGCTCTCTTTCGACCACAAGATGCGTCTGCTCCGGCCCATGCTCTTCCCCTATGTCCTGCCGCTCGTAACTGTGTACTTTGCCGAGTACACCATTAATCAGGGTGTGGCGCCGACGCTGCTCTACCCGGTGCCCTCGCCAGAGAGACACCCACTGCTTGCATTGCTGATCCATTCGCTTCGCGACTATTACCCCCTGTATCAGCTTGTATACCAAGCGTTTGTGTTCTGCTCGCGCTCATACACGTCGCTCACGCCGCTTGCACCTATACCGAAAAAGTGGCTGTGGTCACCAGCAATCGTGCAGGTGCTCCTGCTCGCTCTCCTCTCGACGGAAAGCGTATATGCCTGGTTCAAAAAGTCGATTGCAAGTCCGCTCGTTATTGTGCTTGTCGCCTGCGAGGGCCTTGCAGGTGGTGCAGCATACGTGTCTGTGATGAGCAGACTCAGCGTGCTTGGCAAGAACTCTGCCTACACGCCGCTGGCGACGGAAGACACGGAGAACGACAACGAAAACGACAACGATGCTGATGTGAAAGCGGAACTTGAGGCGCAGGCGCAAGAGTTCCAGATCGGCTGTGTGGGACTTGCAGATACATTCGGCATCCTTGTGGCGTCCCTTGTGTCCATCCCACTGCAGCTCATACTGTGTCGCTTGCAGGTGGGGCGTGGGCGAGACTTGTGTACACGAGTTTAGGCGATAAATATCCAAGATAAGCGCCGATCGCTTGATTCTTGGTCCGTTCGTATAGTGGTTTAGTATAGTGGATTTTGATGATACAACTTCCATTGACCCCGGTTCGAACCCGGGACGGACCTCATTTTTTTCTACTGGAGCTTCTGTACAAACTCCTTGCGAATGTTGTCATATACGGTGTCGATGTCTGCCATCGAGTCGACAGACACGACCTTATTCTTCGTGCGGAACTCGTCCACAACGGGCATGCTCGTTTCGACGAACGTGCGGAAACGCTTTTTGATAGACTCGATATTGTCGTCCGCACGGCCACTGTGCTCGCCACGGCGCAGCAGACGCTCGAGCATCAGCTCCTCTGTGCACTCGAGGAAGAGCACGAACTGTGCCGGAACAACGTCCTCCTCAAACTTGACCGCCTGGTCCATCTTGCGGGGGAATCCATCGATGAGGAAACGACCCTTGCCGTTACCCCAGCCGGTTGCCGTGCTGTCCGCACGGTCCTTGAGCGACTGCTCAATTGCATTGCGGAGAAGAGCAATAGTGACTTCCATAGGCACGATTTTGCCATCCTTAATGTACTCGGCAATCATCTGGCCGTACTGAGAGCCGGGCCGGTTCTGCTCCGCGCGAAGAAGATCGCCGGCGCTCAGGTGCACAAAGTCAAAGTCACGCACAAGGCGGGCGCAATGGGTTCCCTTTCCTGCGCCTGGCCCGCCAAGCACAAAGACAACGACAACGTCCTGCGGGTTGAACTCGGACATTTCTCCTCAAGGGTAAAGAGTAAGGGGAGAGAGTATTAGTTGAACAGTGCTGCAAGTCAATTAATCAACACGTAATATTATACCGCCCAAATGACGTCTCCATACGCGGTGCGCCCTGGTGGTGCGCTCAAATTCAAGTCTGGGCGCGCGGCAAAGAAGACAAAATCGAGCACATCCAGCAGCATATCTGACGCAAAACCGAAAACACCCTCGAGCAGCGCGGCAAATACAAAGTCGACAAGCAGCCACAGCGATCGCGACAGTGGCTCACCAATCCCTCCTTCCCATTCTACATCAAGCAAGAGCAAGCGCGACACGCTTCCTGTCACTGCGCCACCAGATGACCCACTCCCACACATGACCAAGGCAGAGCGCCGCTTTGAGGAGATGCGCAAAAAACGCGTACGTATATCTGCATTGCTGACTAGCTCCGCGAAGTCGCACAAAAGGAAGCACACAAATCACACAAGGACCGTGTTAACGAGCTCAACGAGTACCTTGATTCCCTATCCGAGTATCACGATATGCCACGCATTGCCGGCGTCTAATAGCAGCTATGCAGCAGGAGACCACGACGGAAAGCAGTCCTTGACCGTCTGGTAAGCACGGTAGAAATAAAAAATGTAACACATACCTTGTTGTGCTTGTTTTCCGCGTGCTGGCGGAGACTGGGTCAGTGGCGCATACATACGCTGGCTCGCGCACAGTGATAAGGAATGTCTGACGGCAGGTCTGGCACACGACACTCTTGGCGGCCTCGTTCACCTTGAGCTGCGACTTGGCTTCCTTGCCGGCATTGCCCTTAGCGTTACGCTCCCGCTTCTGCTGCGCCCCGGTCAGCTCAGACGCACCTGGCGCCGTTGCCCATGTTGCTGCGCTCTGCAAGTGGTGCGGAGCGTGCCACGCGCCAGACAGGCTAGAATTATCTCGGCCGAAACACCGCGCGGGCTTGCTGCTACTACCACGACTGCGGACGGGCCAACATGGCGAGCCAAGGACAGCGTGAGGCCGTGTTCCCAACGCGCATGACGCTTGGTACCACCAAGACGCGTCTCAAGGGCGCTCAGAACGGTCATTCGCTGCTTAAGCGCAAGGCTGATGCGCTCTCGAAGCGCTTCCGTCTTATCACGGGCAAGATTCAGGATGCCAAGCGCCAGATGGGCAAGGTGCTCCAGCAGGCCTCTTTCAGCATGGTCGAAGTCGGCTATGCCACCGGCGATGTCGGCTACGCTGTGCGTGAGAATGTCAAGCATGCCACGTTCAAGGTGCGTGCGCGCCAGGAAAACGTGAGCGGTGTGTTTCTGCCGTCATTTGCGCCTGCAATCGTGTCGCAGGAGACTTCCGAGGAGCAGGTGCTCGAGGACACAGAGGGTGAGCTTGTGGGCAAGTCTGCTGCACCCGCAGAGCTCGCGCTCACGGGTCTTTCCCGTGGTGGTCAGCAGGTGCAGCGCGCCCGCGACATGTACACCAAGGCGCTCTATACTCTTGTCGAGCTTGCCAGTCTGCAGACTGCATTTGTTATTCTTGATGAGGTCATTCGTCTCACGAACCGACGTGTGAACGCTATTGAATACGTGATTATTCCCCGACTGGAGAACACGATCAACTACATTATTTCCGAGCTGGACGAGATGGACCGTGAAGAGTTCTTCCGTCTCAAGAAGGTGCAGGGCAAGAAGAAGCGTGTGGCACAGGCAGAGGAGAACGCTCGCCGTGCACAGGCGATCCAGCAGGACGCAAGCACTGCTGCGGCCAAGCCCGCGGAGAAAGACGAACAGGGTGGCGATATGCTCGAAGCAGACAAGGACACAGACGTAATCTTCTAGCATAGAAATGATGTACATGCTGCATGAAATTTCAACTATGGGTTCGGACCACTTGGCGTGTCCACAGGAGTATTAGCAATAGTGCCAGTTGACATGTCGAGTGGCAGCTCGCCAGGCATCTCGAGTCCGCTTGGGAAGCGCGATGCAGAGCGGCGGCGGGCTGGTGACTTGGGTGGGGGTATGCCGGGTGCAGCATTTGGCTTGTCGAATGCTGATGTAGAAACATGTCGTTTTTGTGGAGGTGGTGGTGGCATAGCTGCTGCTGCTGCTGCTGCCGCCGCTGCTGCAGATGCTGCTGCCGAGGCTCCTGATGCTGCTGTCGATGCTTCTGCTGCCGCTGCAGCTGTTTCTGCTGCGGACGAGCTAGGAGTGCTTGGCACGGTCGCCACTGCAGGTGTTTGGTCGCTTTCGCTCGCTTCAGTGTACACGGACGACCGATCATGCTCTGTGCCCGCTGCGCCCTCAGACTCAAAGCCGGCATCGAGCACCAGCTCATGGGGCGATACATCCGCGGCAAACATGCCAGACGCCCCCGAGTCAGTGTCGAGCACCTTGATTGTTGCCGTAGAGATATCTGGTGCGTCTTCGTACACAGAGTCGCCAAGGGCGCTGATCAGGTCTGTCGGTGTGCTGCTTGCGTACTTGGCCCTTGTCGGCGACTGCTCGATCACGTGGAAGACGTCGGATAGACGACTGGGCATCGCGACCGTGGCCGAGTCGCTTGCCGCGCGCTGGATGAGGCTGTGTGCACTAGACTGCGGGTTATCGCTCGCTGCACGGAGCGTGTCGCGCATCGCATGCGGCGGGAGAATCGGGGCCGGAGCACCGAGTCCTCTCGCGCGTGGCGTGGCATCGTCGTTCGCCGGCGCAAACACGTCGTCCTCGGCGTCGCGCTCCTCGTTCGTGTCAGATCCAGACTGGCTCGACACGCTGGGCGGTCTGGGGATGTCGTTTAGCACAGGCACCGAGTTGCGCTCGCGGCGTTCGCGGCGCCGATCAGCTCGCGCAGCTGCGGTCGCCTGCTGGATAGCCGCGGCCTCCTTGGACGAGACCTCCGACAGCGACTCGGGCTTTGGCTGGCCCTGCAGCCGCGCAAGCATCGCGGCAGCCACACGCGACGGACTGCCCTGCTCGATTCCCGAGTCTGGGGGGGCCAGACGGCCGTCCTTTCCGCCGCGCGTCCTGCGGCGCTGGCGCTTTGGATTGCCGCCGCCTGATCTGAGCGAGCCAAGGAGCGACTCCAGCACTGCATGGTCATCAACACCAGCGTCGCGCCGCGAGGCGGCCTCTTTCTTTTCCTTCTCGCGCTCCTCGGCCGCTGCACGGCGTGCAGACTCGATGGCGCGCTGCTCGGATATGCGTGCATTATCGGTCTTGGCCTTGCGGTACGCGGCGAGGAACTCTTTAAAGATGCCGAAAAAGTCCTCTGTCGACATGCCCTTGGGCGCCGGGAAGCCGCGCCGCATCGGGTCGGGACCTTCGCCGTAGAAGCGCAACGCGTCTGCAAACTGGCGCTCGGTCGTCTGCACCTCGTCGTTGAGACGCGCCATGTCGCTCGTGGCATCGCGCAGGAAAGGCAGCATCAGGTCCGTGTACGGGTCACGCTTGCTCGTGTTCTCGGCAAGCAGGCGGTCCAGCTCTTTCTTGTGCTGCAGATTGCCAGACTTGAGCTCGGCGACGTCGCGCTTCAGGTCGTTGAGCTGGACGCGGCATGCCTCGGTGGCAGCCGCGAGCTCGTCCTGGAAGGCCTCCACCTGTGGAAGGTACTTTGTAATTACGCGCTCGACAAAGTGGAGGAGGGTCGTGCCGTCCGCGGCCTTGGTATCGACAAGCTTGTTGATGCTGCTGATGCGGAAGCCAAATGCGCCGCCCTTGATGCCCGTCGCATTGAGGTAGTTGCCGAGCATCAGCACGAGCGAGAGCAGCGTGACGAACTGTGGCGCGTCCATAATCGCGTCCGTGCCTGCACGGATCTTCTTTAGTCCGTCGCGCACAAGCTCGACCGTCTCGTCGTAGCGGCTCCTGAACAGCAGACCCTTGACCTTTTCCTTGAGGTGCGGCACAGTCATGAGCAGGACGACGAGCCTGTCCGCAGGGTGCAGCAGACGCAGCTGCTCGTCGGATGCATTTTTGTACTGGCCAAGACGGCCTTTTGTCTCGGACTCGGGGTAGTAGCGCAGGAGCTCGGTAAGCACGCTCTGGTCGAGAATGCGCGAGTCGCACTGGATAATCATGTGCGCGACCTCCTCGGGCGAGCACTCTTTAGACGCCGTCAGGCGGCTGCGGATACGCTTGAGCACCAGCTCGATGCCCTGACGAGTCGCGAGATTGAGATGCGTCTGCAGCTCCTTGCGGTCCTTGCGCGTCGCTGCAGGCGCCTTCTTCGACACCTCCTTCGCACGGAAGTCTTCTTCCATCTCGGCGAAGATGCCATTGTCCAGGAACAGGCTGCGCAACGCGCCCTCGTCCACCTTTTCCTTGCCCCACACGGTCTCAGCTGCATGCTGTGCCGAGAGCTTCTCCCACTGCAGCTGC